TGGTTCGAAATCGAACCATGGACTCCAAAGGGTTAAGGAGGCTCCGAACAGTTGCGCAGCGCAGTGTAAAAAGGGCACCTCGAGAATCTGTTTTTGCCGCGAGATTCAAAAAATATCGTGTTCCATGCGGAAACAAGCTGTTGTTCAGAAAGAAGTTTTTTGATCCTCTGTGCTCGCAGTTGAGTTGTTCCAGGATGTACTTGTTCTACTCGTTGCAGTGTTTCTGTAGCCGTGGCAGTTTCTACGCTGGAAAGAATCACTGGCCATGGCTAATGCAAAACAAAGCCAGTTCCTACGCTGCTTGATTTTTTTCTGAAAACTTTGCTGAAGCGGTACGCGGTGGCCACGAAGAACAAATAATAATTACTGACGAAGAATGATGAGAAAAGCAGGCTGAAGTCAGTGAAGACATCGATCTCGAATGTAGTGACACTAGTACTAGTACTGGTATTTAGAATGGACTACCTGTGGAGCGTGAAGTGGCTGCCCACTCGCTGGTAAGTGGACCCACTTGCAGCTCCAGTCGCACGTGTGCCATTTGAAACTTTCTGTGGATCCTTGAGTATCCTGAGCTCAGTGGACGACGCATCTCAGAGCTGCTGAACATGGGCTACTGTCCCTGTAGAAATGAGATTCGTGTCAACCACTGTACTGTACTGATGGTGTAAGGAAAACGCTCCCCAGAAGCTTGTGTTCTGAACCAGGGACGAACTTCTAAATCCTGCTCTTGTAAAAATGGGGATGTCACAACTAAGGCCACACCAAGTTAATTCTATGTTTCGCGTCGGATATTTTCTGGAAAAGGCACGCGGGCGGGCGGAAAAAAAACAAAAACAGAAGAAAAAACAAAACTCCATTCTATGTGTACTGAGCCATGTTGCACACAGAATACCACTACTAAACTGTCACTTCTATCCAAAACGACAACAAGTCGTCACAGGACAGCTGGCAGACTGGGCTGGAGCGATACAGAGATTTCATGGATGGCTCCTTCTGCATTTTGACATGAGTCGAGTGGGATCCCGCTCCATCACAATCGTGGAAAATCTCGAAGTCCTTGACACCTGGAATCTCTGCTCGCTTGGTGAGCAGGCCCTAGGCCTACCGCACGGCTTGGAAAAATAGAAATTTTCATCTCTCGCACCTTCTACGTACCATCGCCTGGAATGCAAGATTATCGAGAAGCTGATAACCTGTGATCTGCCATACTGGCTAGAGAATGTTCGCCAGAACAGCCATCGATTGGCTCGTCTAGGTTCTTTTTTTTTCTTGGCAAGGATTTGAAAAGGTACGCGGGCGGGTGACGCGAAACATAGAAATAGCTTGGTGTGGCCTAAGATGTGCACACTCAGGTGTGCATTGGGTAATTGTCTATGGCTGCATATTTTGAATCCTTTCCTATGCGCAAGTACATGCGTTTGTGTGTGTGTGTGTGTGTTTGTGTACGTGCACGCGCGCGTGTGTGTATACGCGTGCACGCATGCGTGTGTGTGCAAACTGTTGAAAGGTGTAATCCGAGCACAAGTTGCTATGTCTAACGTAGTTTGTTCGCTCTCCTCGCTTCAGCGTTGAGCAGGTGTATGAGTGTGTGTGTGCGCACGTGTGTATGTGCAAGCGTGTGTATGCGCGCCTGTGTGTGCATGTGTGAGCGCGCGTGCTCGTGCCCGCATGTGTAGGTTCGTACGCAATGTTGATCTGGGTTATGCACATGTTCCCACGAGTGCACTGGGTGCATGTGCATGCGAATGTCTGTGTACATGTATGTGTGTATGCACGTGCGTGTGTGCAAAGCTAGGTGTGTATGGGGGGGGGGGGGGGGCTCACGGTGCTTGTTCTGTATGGCTCTCCTCTCTGGTGTCCGCAAGGACAGTGTGGCAGTGGCTTTACAGTACAGGAGGTGCATGTGAATGCGCATTTGTGAACCGCATTCGAGACACAATAAAGAAAGCCAAGAGGTCATGACAGTACACTATATCGTATGTGTGCACGCCAGCGTGTGTAGATGCATATTGCCCTTCATGCATATGTTTTTCTGGAGTCTGCTGCTATGAACACAAGTGACAACCAGCAAATGCATGCCCAGTGCAGTGGCTGGTTTTCAAGCTTCTATTTACACTAAGTCCTACTACTGTACTAGTAGTGTTACAATGATGCGTGCATAAGAGTGCGTGCATGTGGGTGGGTGTTCATGTGCGTGTGCACGCACGCGTGTGAGTGTTTAGCGTGCCTGATTTTTGAATGCCTGCTTTCACATTATTCTTGTGCCAGTTTCATGGTCGAGGATGTTATGAAACCTCGCTGCCTTACATGTACATGGACACTACTCGTATATCAATGTGCTAGGGCTGAATCATGCTACATGACATACATGTACCTTTGTACCTTTCCAAGCACAGGCTGTCTGGTATGTCCAAAGGAGGTTGCAGTATGAAAATAACTTCTTCTAAAATATATTAACATACCACCATGTCATTGGTAGTGTTATTTAGTCAAGAAGGCAAGAATGGTCAGATTTTCTAAAAATGCTATTTTCGGAATTGGCTTTGAAATACCATATTTTGACACCTATATTGTTTCGTAGGAGCCTAAAGTGCCTGGTGACACCATCAAAACTGTCTATTATCGGTTTCCTTGGGGCTCAAGGATCACAGAAAGCCACAAAAATCAATATCATTATATGTCCATGGACAAAATGTTGCAGGCTGAACCATTTCACAATTCAGCTCCCGATGGAAATTTCGGTACCCGCAATTTCGAGAAAGTGGCTCACCAAGGGCAAAACCAAGACACAGTCTATCTTGTGTACCCAAGATACCTCCAAATGTGGTTCTTAAACGCATGATGAAGAAAATACTTAGTATCCTCCTTCCAGGAGGCTTCTTTGGGTCAAAAACCATTTTTTACCATTTTTTTGCCGAAAATAATGAAATTGTACACTCACTAAATACACCAGAATACCTCTAATATGCCTGGTGACCCTACCTAAAAACTATACCAAATTGAAGAGGAGACATCACTCCACCATTCTATGCATAAAAACAGGGTGTCCATGGACCTTTTATTTTTACTTCTTTAGGTGGGAGCCTCCTTAACGATAGCTACTGCTTCCTGGGCTCTGCCGACCAGTTTGCCGTGTTGATCCTGCACTACCGGGGTCACTGCCGGCCGCCTCCGCATTGTGGCAACTGCCTTGAACATTTGTGCGCCGTTCTTCAGTTTCTCTACTTCCTTAGCCTTCAGGTCCAGTTCTGCCTCGGCACGGTCTAGGCACAGCTTCCGCACCTTGTGTTGAATTCGGTTACGTTTGGTTTTAGGGATTCTCTCTTCCTGCCGTCAGTGACAAATGTCAGCTGTATGCGCAGCTGCCTCTGCTCCTTCGATAGGGCTTCCAGTTCTGCATCATCGTATTTTTGGTGTTTTTTTCTCTTGGCGTATCCCACAGTTGTTGCTGCTGCACTGTGAATGTGCTTTTGATTAGCGTTCCAGTTCTCCTGCACGTCGTCTCCTGCCTCCCCAGTAGGCTCTGCAAGTGAATCTGATAGCTTCTTTGCATAAGCGAGCTGTACTTCTTTCTCTGATGCCAGGCGTAGTGTATTGACACTGGGCTGTCTGCTTATGCTCCGTTTGTGCGTCTGGCTGCCCAAGACACCATATACTCTCGATATCTCTAGGTTTGCAATTACAATTCTATGATCTGAGCAAGTCTCCATCCCGCCGTAGCTCCTGCAGTTCTTCAAGAGACGTTTCTGTGACTCACGGCAAATAATATAATCAATCTGATTGTACACAGGGACTTTTTGGTCTGCTGCTTTGTCTCTCCTCCAGCCAGTCCAGGTCGTAATATTCCTGGCAGGATGCTTGAACGTAGTATTGGCCAGGTAGAGGTGACTAGTTTCACAGAAGTTGACCAATGTGTCCCCAGTGAAATTTCGTCTGCCTCTACCATGGGATCCCAAACAGTTCGCATTTCTGCGGCCACTGCCAACTTTCGCGTTGAAATCGCCACAAATGTACAGTAGGGCACTGCTGCTGACCTCTGAGTACGCCGTAGCCAAGTCGTCGTAGAATCTATCCAGCTCAGCGACATTTGACGCACATCTCGTCGATGTCGGTGCGTATGCGTTGATAATAGCCAGGAATGGCCTTCCCGAGGCGACGTTCTGTCCCTGGTGTACAGACACTAGAGCTGAGGGGCTACTGGAGAGCGTAAGGACCGCGACACGGTCCGATACTGCCCAGTACCGATGAATTTCAAGGCGACTCGAGACAGCGAATCCGAGGCCATAGTGATAGTTTTTCGTTGGAAAACAGATGAGACGGTGTCCAAGGATGGATTCGTCTAGTCCGTCTGTAAGTTTTGTTTCCTGTAGAGAGCACAGTCCACTGCGCACCTCGCCAAGTCTCTGGTCAGAGTAGTTCTCTTCAGTGACGACTTCAGGCCGAGGACGTTGAACGTGGCAATGTTGAGGTTTGAAGAATATTTTTTGAATTTTCCTGAGCCGACTGTCTTAGCTGTTCCTCGCTCCGACGACTGGGCCGTCGTGTGCCGCTCCCGGTCCGTCGGACGTCTTGCCATTTCTCGTCGCTCATTAGCCCGAGTCCATTCATTAAATACTAAGCTCTTCCTCACGAGAAGGAAGAGAGGAGAAACATAACTTTCCCCAGCCAAACTGACGAGCATACTCGTCATAAATCCGGAAAGCGTGAGCCTTAGCGCTGCTTTCTGCTCCCGGGTCGGATTTCTTTTGGCCATACCTATACATGGGCCTGTTCTGTTCACTACCGCTGTCTTTAATGAATGATATCTGTGCAGCTACTAGTCCGCCTTGGCTGGAGCGTACCATGACAGTATTCAGGTAGCCACCTTCTTTGGTGTCTGCATGGACTAAGTACAAGCAAGGCTGCGAGAAGCATGCATAGGGCCTCGTTTTTAGTGTGCTTGGGTTTTCTTTGTTGCTAGTATTGATTTTTGTTTTATGTGTCCACGTTGCTCGATGCAGGTTTGTGGCTGTCACCGAAAGGTAGTGGAAGCTTCGCCAGCTGAAGACACAGGCCATGCGAGCGCTGCAGCAATGGGAGCTTCTTCAGCAATAGGAGCTTCTTCAGCAATGGGAGCTTCCTCAGCAATGGGAGCTTCCTCAGCAATGGGAGCTTCCTCAGCAATGGGAGCTTCTTCAGCAATGGGAGCTTCTTCAGCAATGGGAGCTTCCTCAGCAATGGGAGCTTCTTCAGCAATGGGAGCTTCCTCAGCAATGGGAGCTTCCTCAGCAATGGGAGCTTACTCAGCAATGGGAGTTTCTTCAGCAATGGGAGTTTCTTCAGCAATCGGAGCTTCTTCAGCAATCGGAGCTTCCTTAGCAATGGCAGTTTCCTCAGCAAGCGGAGCTTCTTCAGCAATCGGAGCTTCCTCAGCAATGGAAGTTTCTTCAGGGCAGTATGTACTCCCTCCATCCACCGTGCTCTCTATGCATAATGTGGCTGTGTTGTCTGAGCTTGAGTCCCATACAGGTAATCCTCCATACCTGGTGGCTCCACCGGATGACCCTGATAGCGATGAAGATGACAGTGCATCCCTGTATGACTCTGCCTGGAGTGCATCTAGTGTGGGATCTGTAAGCTCTATCTAGTATACCATACTGTATTACCAAGAGTAGATAAACAAGAGTGTGCAACTCCGGATGGTTTGGCCCACGGCGGAATTTTTTGTTGGCGTCATCTTTTCTGAAATCATGAGTGATACCGTACGAGGCACACGCTGCGAGTCTTTTGCCGCTTGCACTTGGCTGGGTTTTACATTTGCTAAGCTTGCCATTTTACCTAATGAATTCGCAGCCATGAGTTTTCACAGTCGAGGCCAATCGGAAATTGTTTAGTTGGTTCACCAAGCGCATGAACCTGTGAACTCGAACGTTGTGCTTTTGTCACCTTTTGGAATCAGCTCGTCGTTTTGTCTTCTTGTTCATTTTTCTCAAGCGAAGGACTAAAGGGACAAGGACTACGTGTTGGGCCTTGTCCCTGTAGTCCTTCGCGTTTCTCAATCTTTGGTTGGTCCTACTTCTCCTATTTCGCACCATTGTAGTCTCTGGCAGACTATTTGTGAAGATGGATCATATCTCTGTGGAAGAAAGTATCGTTATGGCTCTTGGTGATCCACAGATGGAAAATATGGCGGAAAACACCTGCAGCGAAGCGCTCGTTAGCCATCAAAAGGTTGCTGTCCACGAGTGAGCGTAAAGGCCTGGGCTAAACGTTGGAAAAGATGAGCACGAACCCCAATGTTGAGACTCTCGGCACCCAGTCTTGCTTGGTTGAACATCATTTCAAGTCATGTCCGGAAGAAAGTGCACATACTGTTGACCCCAGCGAAAACCCGTGCACGGAAAAAACTACAGGAGCGGGAGAGTTTTTGTTCTTGAAGAAAACGGCACAAACACTGCAAAAACACAAAACTCACGATGAAGGTCTGTGCCCAGCGCGTGCTCTCACACTGCTCTGCGGCAGTTTGCGCGTGCTCTGTACGACACACGTCCTGGTTTCTGAAAAAGGTGACGTCAACAAAAAGTTCCGCCGTGGGCCAGGGTATCTGCAGAAGAGATGCGGAGTTGCACACTCTTGTTTATCTGCTCTTGATATTACTCATAATAATGCATTCCGGTCTTGATTGGTGTCCTTCGTGTCAACTCGTTGCACTCGCCAACACGGTTCAATCAAGGAAAGGAATACATGTATTTAGAATGAATAGAAGAATAGGGTTCTAGACAATCAGGACAAGCAGAGTCTGGGCCGCCATTCTCGGGCTCTCTGTCTGTCTGTCTGTCTGTCTGTCTGTCTGCCTGCCTGCCTGCCTGCCTGCCTGCCTGCCTGCCTGCCTGCCTGCCTGCCTGCCTGCCTGCCTGCCTGCCTGCCTGCCTGCCTGCCTGTATGTCTGTCTGTCTGTCTGTCTGTCTGTCTGTCTGTCTGTCTGTCTGTCTGTCTGTCTCCCTCTTGATCTCCTCGCTCTCTCGCAATGATCCGCAAATATGTGCAATGCAGCTAAAAAATCACGTGAGACATACCTCACTGGTAGAATGTATGATGCTACTCCCGGGCATGCAGAGTATGGGGGAGAGTGCGTACGGAAAGAACAGAGTACATGCACTATGTGTCTAGCATATCAGTAGTTTATTGAAAACGCATCAGTGACCGAGACCAAGCATACATTACGCCTTGAGTCATGCATAGATCAGACGTAGTTCAGCGGGACTACCACATATGTGTACTGTAGCACTAAATAGGAAATACTTCTTTGGGTTGCTTCCACTGGGACCGGCGGCGGGAGAGCTTCTCCCAGTCCCTCCCCATGGCATCCAGGTACACGTATGTGATGTGAAGCAGTGCAATGCACACCTTAATCATACGGTAAATCACCTGCAACTGGCATTGGGACAGTTAAGCAGTGTTCAACTGCCCCACCCTGTCCATGCACCAATCCCGTACACTTTAGCACAAACGCTGGGCATGTGGATGTACCATCAGTGTCCACCCCCCAACGTTTGTCGACATCTCAGGGCCTAACTAATGCCAATTGTGTTTGCATTGAAGCCAATGAGCAGCTCTATTGATCATTGTCACATGTACTTCAAAAGCATTTTAAAGTGCCAAGTATTTATTGTGTACATTTGTTGTTGTGTGGATATGCTGCCAGGCCAAGAAAATGAAGGCAATCGCAGAAAAGGCAGTATGCAAGATCCCAGCTGGCATAGGCTATGGCCGTGGTCGACATAATTCAGGTACCTGTATGTATGTCGGCATGTGCACTTGTGTTTAACCTTTTCAGTGCCAAGGACGAGATAACTCGTCCTGAAACAACCACCCTGAATGGTCAAGGACGAGATAACTCGTCCTGAAACAACCACCCTGAATGGTCAAGGACGAGATAACTCGTCCTGAAACAACCACCCTGAATGGTCAAGGACGAGATAACTCGTCCTGAAACAACCACCCTGAATGGTCAAGGACGAGATAACTCGTCCTGAAACAACCACCCTGAATGGTCAAGGGCGAGATAACTCGTCCTGAAACAACCACCCTGAATGGTCAAGGACGAGATAACTCGTCCTGAAACAACCACCCTGAATGGTCAAGGACGAGATGACTCGTCCTGAAACAACCACTCTGAATGGTCAAGGACGAGATAACTCGTCCTGAAACAACCACCCTGAATGGTCAAGGACGAGATAACTCGTCCTGAAACAACCACCCTGAATGGTCAAGGACGAGATAACTCGTCCTGAAACAACCACCCTGAATGGTCAACTGAAACAACCACCCTGAATGGTCAACTGAAACAACCACCCTGAATGGTCAAGGACGAGATAACTCGTCCTGAAACAACCACCCTGAATGGTCAAGGACGAGATAACTCGTCCTGAAACAACCACCCTGAATGGTCAAGGACGAGATAACTCGTCCTGAAACAACCACCCTGAATGGTCAACTGAAACAACCACCCTGAATGGTCAAGGACGAGATAACTCGTCCTGAAACAACCACCCTGAATGGTCAAGGACGAGATAACTCGTCCTGAAACAACCACCCTGAATGGTCAAGGACGAGATAACTCGTCCTGAAACAACCACCCTGAATGGTCAAGGACGAGATAACTCGTCCTGAAACAACCACCCTGAATGGTCAACTGAAACAACCACCCTGAATGGTCAAGGACGAGATAACTCGTCCTGAAACAACCACCCTGAATGGTCAAGGACGAGATAACTCGTCCTGAAACAACCACCCTGAATGGTCAAGGACGAGATAACTCGTCCTGAAACAACCACCCTGAATGGTCAACTGAAACAACCACCCTGAATGGTCAAGGACGAGATAACTCGTCCTGAAACAACCACCCTGAATGGTCAAGGACGAGATAACTCGTCCTGAAACAACCACCCTGAATGGTCAAGGACGAGATAACTCGTCCTGAAACAACCACCCTGAATGGTCAAGGACGAGATAACTCGTCCTGAAACAACCACCCTGAATGGTCAAGGACGAGATAACTCGTCCTGAAACAACCACCCTGAATGGTCAAGGACGAGATAACTCGTCCTGAAACAACCACCCTGAATGGTCAAGGACGAGATAACTCGTCCTGAAACAACCACCCTGAATGGTCAAGGACGAGATAACTCGTCCTGAAACAACCACCCTGAATGGTCAAGGACGAAATAACTCGTCCTGAAACAACCACCCTGAATGGTCAACTGAAACAACCACCCTGAATCGTCAAGGACGAGATAACTCGTCCTGAAACAACCACCCTGAATGGTCAAGGACGAGATAACTCGTCCTGAAACAACCACCCTGAATGGTCAAGGACGAGATAACTCGTCCTGAAACATCCACCCTGAATGGTCAAGGACGAGATAACTTGTCCTGAAACAACCACCCTGAATGGTCAACTGAAACAACCACCCTGAATGGTCAAGGACGAGTTAACTCGTCCTGAAACAACCACCCTGAATGGTCAAGGACGAGATAACTCCTCACGCACACATAGCATATAGAAATGAGTATAGACTACTGTACAAACAGCTACAACTTCTGTCTCCCTACTTCAAATTCAACATATGACGGCTCATTGGAAAGCTATTGAACGCAGCTTTCCAACGATGTATCATTCGATATAGTGCAAAGTGCAATACGCAAGCATCGAAAAGACTCAAAACTTGAAGTCCGGGAAACGGGCGAAGGTCAAATTTCAAGCGTGTGACTGTGACGCACGTCATGCTAAAGTTTACAACGTGAATGCGGGTGATTTCCCCAGTGCGTAGCCCATGCACGGCATACACCAAAATGAGCGCTAGAACAGCCTGATTCTGCTGAGTCGTTGCTGTACGTTGAGTATGAGCTGCAAATCGAAAGAAATTGTCTCTGAGTGTAGAATAGCACGACAAAGGCGCATTGGAGCGGCTTTCGAAGTGTCTGTAGGCCGTTCTCCTGCACCTACAGAGCACTGAGCACCATGGATCGACAGAGGAGATCCCCAGCTTTCCAGAGAGCCTAAGATGAAAATTCGTTACTCGTGAGTGAAATGGCGATATTTTTAGTGGCCAATGTGAACATTGTGTGTAGTGCCAGTGCACGCTCCGGCCAAGCGTGTACTAGGTGCTCTGGCACTGAAAGGGTTAATGATAGCTTGCATGCCGTCCTACCGGTAGGACCCAAGAAATCGCGCTGCAAAAGTGCTTTTGGTTGAGCAGTTTCTTGGAAAAATTGTTGAGAAGAGGTCTTTGTAAGGCAAAGTAATGCTAATGGCGCAAAAATGCAAGACTATGTCCAGGGTATTGCATTTTGTGATGTTATCAATTGTCGAAATGGCCGCACATGCTCCTGTCTGAGCGCTAGCAACTCCGTCCACAGTGAATGTTGACAATGGTTACCATGGGCTGTTGCCATGGAACTTCGTAAGATGCCTTGTACGATCACGTCTAAAATTTGTGGACTCCTTTATTAGCCCCCTTAGCAACAGTTTAGGGTCAAGGTAGGACCATCATACACAGACATGCTGCAAGGCCTCTGTACAAAAAGATGGGCCCTGGCTCTGGCAAGCTCCCGTATTTGGCGATTTTTGAAGATTTTGTCGTACACAGTGCAGTGCTGCGAAATTTGAAAAAGGGTCCAAAAAGGGTTCTGTAAAATCAACAAATTTTCTTTGGTGATTTAATTTCGCTGATTTCGCCGGTCGATGTCAATCGGCCAAAATTAATCGCCGGCCGAAATTTGTCACCAGAACCAAATGTCAGTTTGAGTCGCTCTTATGCCGCCGGATTCTCTGTAAAAAAATGCGTACAGTAGACAGGGGTCTACGAACTGCAGTACGCGGACCTTTGTACCACTATACCACTAGTACATGCGCACACGAAACATCGATCACTTTTTCGGACTCTTGCACGCCCACAGCGAAAGTTTAGTGGCGGCGAAAAGTGTTTTTTGGAGATCTGCGAAAGTTTTTCACTGGCAAAAATTTGATGATTTACAGTACCTGAACTGGGGTTCGAACCGCACGAAGCGGCACGATGCACTGTTGCAGGCAGGCTCGAACGGCCTGGATTTTGATGGTTTTTCCCAATTCACTGCTCTTGGGGCAAAACCCGTGGCCGAAATCCTATTCTTGCCACGGCTTGCTTTTGGAGAAATAGACTTCAGAAACATACAGTGCGTATTGGTTATAGCGTGGTCGTGTAAAAGAATATACTGCCTACAAGAATGAACGCTCATGTTTTCATAATCATAACATGGATTTCAAGTGCACATTTATTCTTGCAATTTTATCCCATAGTAGAATATATCGGTCCTAAGAATGGACTTTGTGTCGCGAAACATGCCAGATTAGTACAAAGTGTAGCGCCTGTAGTAATAACATCTGTCCAATTCCGTTCTGATCTGACTCTCGTTGCGTCGTAGTGCTGCAGATTCAACTGTTGTGGTCATGTAACTCATGTTGCCTAGCCACATGGTAAGCCTATGGGACTATGACCAGCCACATGCACAAAAGTACTGCGTTGCATGTACGATGATCTTCCTGCCCATGCGCACAGGCATATGATATGCCACACTTGATTTATCGTGTGTAAGAAATATCGGAAATAAGAATAGAAAGTCGTTTTTCAAACACCCACGCTATAACCGATACCTACTGTAATTGGAACAGGATTCCATAGGGGATTGCAGAACAAATTCTAAAAAAATTCAAACGTTTGACCGAAATATCGGAAATAAGAATAGAAAGTCGTTTTTCAAACACCCACGCTATAACCGATACCTACTGTAATTGGAACAGGATTCCATAGGGGATTGCAGAACAAATTCTTAAAAAAACTCAAACGTTTGACCCATTTATGGCCAAAAGCTAGAAGTCCATCTTTTTCTGAATGGACTGTAACATTGACCTAAATCCTTACCCTAAACTGTTGCTAAGTGTGACGATTTGGTGACATCGGACAGATATACCGTAATATCTCCATTATAAGCCCTGGGCTTATATATTTTCAAGCAGTCCGGACCCTGGGCTTATATTAGAGACTGGCCTTCTTCTAGAGACTGGCCTTCTTCTAGAGACTGGCCTTCTTCTAGAGACTGGCCTTCTTCTAGAGACTGGCCTTCTTCTAGAGACTGGCCTTCTTCTAGAGACTGGCCTTCTTCTAGAGACTGGGCTTATAATTTTTAAACCAGCTGTTACTGGTATAAGTATAGATGTCATCATTTTTCTTTACACCACACAAAGCTTCCCACCAGGTATCGGGAATGCAGTTTTGTACTTCCTGGTACACTGAGTCTGTTCTTTTTGCCTCAGGGTTCACAGACTTGTGCCACAACATGTGGGTATGTGACACTTTTTGATGTCAAACATGCATGGACATGATCCGTACAGTTCTCCATTATCAGCCCTGCTCTTATATTGGAGACTGCGCTTGTATATCTTCGAAGCCCTCTTGGAGTGCGCTTATATTAGAGACTGGGTTTCTACAAGAGACTTCGCTTGTAATAGAGATAATACGGTAATACACAAGAGACAATTGTGATCATCGGATGGATATAATACTGTAAAAGCAGAAAATTTCGGTGGTGTTTTATTTTCGGTAACTTCGGTGCCAAAGTTTTTACCGAAAATGAAACACGCCGAAAATGTCGGTATAGTACTAGTACACTTACCTGGACAACGGGTTTTACCGAAAATTTCCCTCCGCCGAACCGCCGATTTTGGAGAATACCGAAAATATTACACGACCGAAGATTTCTGCTTTTACAGTACACAAGAGACAATTGTGATAATTTCTACGTGGTGTTTACTTCTAATACATAGTTGAAGGGAGTCCTAATACAGCCACTGACTTCCAACTACCAAGGGAAAAGCAAGCCCTTTTCTCCAAAGGACAAAACAGCAAAAGGAGCCAGCCATCCAGAAAAGGATACGGGAAAAGAAAAGTGGAAGACTACCGTACTGCGCAGTAGAGCGCAGGGGAACCGCACGCGGGGTACGTGACCTATGCAACCAAAAAGGAAGTGTGAGCATGACTAAAGTACAAGTAGTTGCGATTTATGCTGAAGTTCAAACTGACGGAACATGTGCAGCGCTACACCGTAACCGTGTACCACGTGGAAACAAACAGAAATTGAGGAGACACAGGATAGCAGACATGAACTCAGGGTCAAACTGATAAGCGCGTAAAGTGAATGCATGCAGTATATGGAGACAAGAGAAAGTTACAGAGCTCAGTGCGTACCGAGTTCTACACACTAAACTCGTGCATGTGAATGTCACGACACTAAGGGGCTAATGAAGGAGTCCACAAATTTTAGACGTGATCGGACAAGGCATATTACGATATTCCATGGAAGCAGTCCATGGTAACCATGGAAACGGAGGATGGAATTTTGCCATGGAAGGCTAAGAAAAACATTACGTCCTCACCACGATCGATGTGTCATGGTCAAAATTCACTTTGGACAGAGTTGCTAGCGCTCCGACAGGAACATGTCCGGCCATTTTGACAATTAATAAAATTGCATGTATGCAATGCACTGGACATAGTCTTGCATTTTGCGCCATTACTTTGCCCCATTACTTTGCCCTACAAAGACCTCATCTCAACAATTGTTTCGAAAAAATTCTCAACCAAAAGCACTTTTGTTGCGCGATTTCTTGGGTCCTACCGGTAGGACGGCAGGCAAACTATCATTGATGCCGAGGTTTTTTTCTGATTCGTGGACCAGCTGTTGGCCCTGCAGGCAGTTCTCTTTTCCTTCTACTGCGAGCATGCCATGGCATGCATGCACACAAATACTTTTATGTGCTGAATAGTGAACACACACACACACACACACACACACACACACACACACACACACACACACACACACACACACACACACACACGCACACACACACACACACACACACACACACACACACACACACACACACACACACACACACACACACACACACACGCGCACGCGCGCGCACGCACACATACACACACACACACGCACACACGCACACACACACACACGCACACACGCGCACACACACACACACACACACACACACACACAAACACACATGGACCATTGCTGGTGATCGTCAACGAATCCCTGCGCTTCTCGTGATCACATGAAGCTTTGAGGCTTTTTTGAAGAAATGTCAGACAAATCGGCACTCTCGAAAACAGGAGCATCTAGACGCTTTCTTCAAGAGTCTCGAAGTGGACATGGCAGGAAGAATTTAGGACACTGTACCCTGTATCAACTGGCACAGCAAAGAATATTGCTGCTGAGGATTGTTTGATAAACAATCTGATAGCAGGGACCTCAGACACTTTGTAAACACTCTGATATACACGTAACTAGCGAGAAATGCTCTCACGAAGCATTCTCAGTTTCATGATGCAATTGAATTTTTCTTCGAGTAAATCGCCAGAAACATGTCTAAGTTCGTGGCACTGTCGTAGGCCAGAGGGATAATTAATTTTTGAAGAGAACTGGCTGACTGTACTTGCGATGGAAGGCGATGAAGAGTCAAGGAAGCGATAAGATACTCACAATCATCAGCATTTGCTTCTTCAGGACTCGCATTAAAATCACAGTTTAGGCAGTTGATGCTGAGGAAGCTGTCCGGTTTGACTGCAGTTTTTTTGCAGGATTCATCGGCATGACTTATCACACTGCACCGAAAAATGATGCAGTTAGGGAGTTCCGCCGAGCGAGCTTCTATCCTGGGATTACCCGGGAGTTGCAAACTCTTGGAGGGGGGAGGGGGGGGGGGGGGGGTAATGGACTCTTGGTGATATTGGACTACGCATCCTGCCCGCACACATACCTATATTGAGCACAGCTGTACACTAGACTGTAATGTGAGGGAAGGATGACTTGTTTGATTCTCAAGAAAGTAACTAGTTATGGAGTAAAGACAGCTAAAATTGTTTATCTTATTTGGATATTGTGTCCTTTTTGCTGCTCAGACTGGAATGTGAAGAAGTTTAATGAAGCGCGGAAAGAAAAGGTTTCGCAGGTACGCGCTGGTTTGTTGTGATGAAGCATGTTGGGAACGCCTCCTTGAAATATGCACTACTGGGGAATTTTTATGTTTGAGTATGTTTTGAAGTGCTGTACTTTTCGGTGTCTGCTCTAGGATTGTAGGACAGCCGGGTACACGTGTACCTGGTGCAACCATTTCAACCGGGTCGGAGCCGGGTACACATGTACCTGGCCCTGTCTCACCAGCCGAGTCACATGCTTAAACCGGTTGGTTGGTTTATTTTAATTCGGACAATAAACGGGAACTAGGCCCAATGATATAAAGGCGAATGGATAAGCCGCATTTAGAAAAGAGAGGACACTCGGGACAGGAATTAGAAAAGTACGAAAGAAGAAGAAGTATCTGACACATACAAGCCATGTGGTCAGTTCTTTCAAAGTTCGAAAGTGTAAAGTACCAACCGGGTCACAGGTGACCCGGTACTATATTTTCAACCGGGTCCAAGCGCCGCCCAACCGGGTGGATTACCCGGCTCACCCGGCGCTGGAGCAGACACTGCTTTTGTTCAGCCTGAACCTCCTCTATTGTACAAACTACAACGGGAAATAGAACAGGGTTGCACCGTCGTGAATCATGGTTTCGCACAATACCAATTATTTAACCCTTTATTACCGGCCTGCAGACTTTCGATCATAATATTATATGATCGAAAGTCTGCAGGCCGGTAATATCTTCGGAACTCCATCGTTTCTTGTCCAAATTCAACAATAGAAGGGTCTGCCTGGTAGCGGAAACTCCAAGCTGTCCAATGCAACAATAGCCGAAGAGTTAACAATGTCGGACGCCAGAGATATCGCGCGCGATATTCTTACCTGGGCAAATTCAAATTTTTGATCGATCACTTTCCCATTTTGGGGTAAAATCCCTTTTCGTGTGCTCGAGGGATTGAGCACATGATAATGACGTAGTCGGCAGAAGTTTGAATCGTCTCAAACAAATTTGAGCGTACTGCGATGAAGGAGAGTGGAATGGCGTCGATGGGATGAATTTGCTTGCATATCAGGCTTGGAGACGACTTTGCTGTGTTATCGCGCCTGATTTGTGGCGGCTAGATACTGGAGCTTGGTACCCTGGCGTTGCTCTCACCAAGAGCTTTCCAACGAGCCCTAGATTGTGAAAATCAAGCGAAGGAGACCGAAGTTATGACCTGGTGAAGTTGAAAATTGTACTGACATTTGAAATTATGTTGCATGCTGTGCTAGCAATCAGGTAATAAAGGGTTAAGGGTTATGAATACATCCCAAGACAAGAGAGCCAGCTCGGGACCCTGGCTATGCTCGTGTCATGGGGCCCTCCGCCCACTGCATTACTGCTGCTGCTGATACGTCACCTACAACTATTTTGTTGCTCACGACTCGCGTCATCGGTCACATGATCAGTCATGTTACTGATGTATGATGACTGATGATGGTCGCACAACACGCATGCACATGCACATGCACACACACGCGCACACACACACACACACACACACACACACACACACACACACACACACACACACAAACACACACACACACACATAGCCTCATAGGGAAGAAACTCACGAAAGTGATGAGGACCCTGGCCGCTGCGCCAGCCAGTTCTATGTCACGTCTTTGGCATAGCCCCCTACCTCTCAAAAATTTCAACCTGGGTTTGGAAAAACATCAGGCTGCTGTTTGCACGGGCGGTAGACTCTACACGGTGGGAAGCAGCGTCCAAACGCGGTTGCACGGACCGTCGGTGTGTGAGCGGCGTTGATTGCACTGCGAAAGAAACAAACGACTCTGTACGAGCTCTACACTTGGGTACATATTCCGGGACGTGCTCGATGCGTCTTGAGAAAGGCGTGCAGTGATGTGCTGAACACAGCGCTGTCCAAGCGGGACAAAAACAAAGCCTGTGATCGTCGAGCACCTCTTTCCTCAACGTTCCACAACGATGTTTTGAGGATGATCCCCTCGGGATTCGAACCGTGAATTGGTTGACTTGGAAACTTTTCTGCGAAGTCTCAGTGACATCCATGGGCCAACGAACAAAGATAAAAAAGAAGCCAAGCTCTGGCCAGCAGAGCCTGGATGGATTTTTACAAAGCGTACTTGCGACGGCGCAATTCCTGTTCCAACAGGAAACAGTGGGAGTGATCAAGTCGTTGGAAGTCCAGTTCGGAGCGGACTGACATTCCACCAGATGTGGAAGTTCCAATGCCTGTCGTCAGTGAGCAGCCAAAACACAGTGATGAAGAACAGCATGATATGCACCAAAAATATTGGGCAAGGATATACTGTACAAGTAACATGACTGATGATTGTACAATGTAGTAACCATGGTAACTGAGCATGAGATAACTTAAACTGTAGTCTGACTGTAGCCTAGTGTAGGTCTGGAAGAAATACCTGTCATGTACTTCCTCCGCGTCATTAAAATTGTCGCTTCGCACATCGCAATGTTTGTGACTTGGCTCGTCTTAGTCCGACTGTCGGAATCGCTGTTTTCTGTGTTTGAACATTGGAGCGACCCTTCCTGCGCAATGTCCACTTGTTACTGAAGCCGTGGTGGTCTCGGACTTTGTCGGAGCTCTCTTCCGCACCAAGCAAATTCATCGCTCTCCGCACTTTTCCGCCCAGAGCGCATATCATTTTTCTGGAGTTCGTGCCGTCCCACATCGTTCGCGTGGGCATTTATCACGACTGCAAGCTCGGGTATAAGAATCCTGGTATCTTTCCTGAATGCGAAATGCTGAAATTGACGAAGGCAAGAACAAAGTGTTCTCAAATTCCTAAAATGCGCTACGTATGGCGCATGTTGTTGCGAAGGTAGCAGGTCTGAAAATACCAACGAAATCAGCGAAGCGCTTGCCAAGAAAAGAAGGTGCGGAACTGCTTACCCTACCCCACTGGAAGGCCGTTACAGTGTACTTGAAAAGTGATAGTTTGCCTTCATCGCCTGCCACCTGGAGGCATGGATCGCTTGAAAACCAAGTTTCTTGACCAGAATTTTGAACGTCTTGTTCAGCGAATTGTTGAGTGCTGAAGGGTCTGCCTCAAACTCTGATCAAGACGTCGTCGACCTTAGCTGCAAGTGCAGCGAAGCGGGAGGCCACAAACTAAAGCTTGGTCCGTCGACAATGCTCTGCCTCAATTTCTAGCTGATTTCTTTGCCCTTCCAGTGGACGAAATAAATTCGAAAAATCGCCCTGGGAAGCGACAATTTTAATGACGAGGAGGAAGTAATAATTTTGTAACGTTGGATAGCTAGCTGCGTGACATACATCATTACAGTCATGTGCACCATGTCATCTCCCCCCGGCCACGACCCCTCAGTCAAATCCTGGACACGCCACTGCTCACCTCCCACTGCTTTAGGAGCTGCATCTGCACCTTGAACCTTGAGGGTGGTGGCGTTACTACGGATGCGGAAAACTCTTTGTAACCAAGTCTCTACGTGAACCGTGAACTTTATAAATGTTTTATAATGATGTGATGATGTCACGAGTACATCTACATCCTAGTACATAACGTAATTTCACATAATTGTATTTGGTGATGATATCTCTGTTTTCCTTTGCAGCTACTTGCTTTGCTCAAGCTCATACTTAAGGACATAGAGAAGGCGGCAGAAGAGTCTGACAGCAGTTGTTGCATGGCAGCACACTGCATAATGAAGTCTGTGTTGCCGGAGTTCATGGCCGTGAGTTTTAAAGCCTTCTTGCATGCATGCTTCGCACTTGAGGATTTCTGTGGGTTCACACATGCACACACATCTACACCACACACACACACACACACACGTATGCACGCACGCACGCACACACACACACACACACACACACACACACACACACACACACACACACACACACACACACACTGTACTGTAGCTTGGTTGCCGCAAGGGCCACATCACTCCGAAAGGAGCCAGGGTCCTTGTCAGGAGCAGAAACGGAGATGGCGACTCAAGTCACTCTGTCGACGGAACTGACGGCTCTGCGAGAACAGCGGACGCCATATGAAGCTATGTCAGACTTGGTTGCACGGTAGTCACAGTCGCACTTGTGACGTCTGAAAACCACTGACTTATTAAAAGCCGCTGACTTAAATTGCCGGCTGCATGTTTTAAAACGCCAAGGAGACGCTGGGCGTGGGCGTGGGCGTGTGGGGGCGGAACAGATTATGCTGGGCGTGCGTGCACTTCCAGTGACTCCCCCCGGGGCAAACAATGATGCACGCGCACGCTGCCACCATGACAGTGATACCAGCACACTGCAGATCACCAAGCTGGTCCTGGATAGGAAGATTGCGCTCTGCGCTACACTCGTGCCATGACTTGTCACCTGGCCGGCAGAATGAGCGATGGCAGAAATACAGCTCACCCACTGCTGAGAATGGTCACAGGAAGGTCTTCTGAGGCCCAGCACAATGGCAGACACCCGCCAAGCAGCCCGATCCTGAGCGACCTCATACCTGGCCGATCCTGAGCGACCTCATACCTGGCCAGATGTGCAATGCCGATGTGCCGAAGATCAGCCGAAATCACATCTTTCCAGTAGCGACGGAGGCGGAAAGCAGGAAATGGCGATGGACAAAGAAAGAACTATGGTGGAAATAAAGGTGATGACCAATAATATTGGAGCAATGAAAATGCAGCATTTTTCTACGTTCCTTTAGTATCATTCATCACTTTAGTTCCACCATAGTTCTTTCGTCCATCACCATTTTTCTCATTATCTACTAATAATTCAATAAAGCGTTTTGCACCATGAACCCTGCCTGTGATATCTCATTTGTTTCCCTTTGAGAGCCGCTCTACACTTTGAATGCTCCTGTCGAAAGCCGCTCCAGTACTACGTGTAGTCCAATTCTGATATTCCTGTGTTTTGTTGTGTTCTAGTCGGAAATTGGCGCTGGTAATTCGTTCATGCAGCTTTGTGGGAATAGGAAGGTAAGCTGTTCCTTCAAGTGCCTTTGACATTGGGTCTTGCTCTAAGCATGTTGTTGCACCTGCCAACCAGTGGCCCATTGATTTTGCTTTGTTTGTTTGTGTGTGTGTGTGTGTGTGTGTGTGTGTGTGTGTGTGTGTGTGTGTGTGTGTGTGTGTGTGTGTGTGTGTGTGTGTGTGTGTGTGTGTGTGTGTGTGTGTGTGTGTGTGTGTGTGTGTGTGTGTGTGTGTGTGTGTGTGTGTGTGTGTGTGTGTGTGTGTGTGTGTGTGTGCGCGCGTGCGTGCGTGTGTGTGCTTCTGGCTAGATTAACTCTTGTGTAATCAATGGTGCTAGTGAAGCATATATCAGATCCACTCTGATTTAGCCATTCACACTAGTACCAAGTATTACCTTCACTGGGGGCAGGGGTACCTGCAGTTGGATCCTGGGACGGATACCCTGATGCCGTCAATCCTTTTTCTGCACCTTGTCCTCACCCACTTACTGAGGTGTGGTGAGCCCATAAGTGGGATCATTTCAAGTCCACCCTAGTTCGGGGATTTCAGGGGGTGTCGGCCGTTGGGTGGTTCAATGGCCAATTGAGTCATCTTTCCAAGATTCCTTTTGAGTCTCTCTCCCCTCTCCCGGGGAGACCCACGTGACCAGTTTTGGCAGTGAGCAAGTACAAGTACAAGTGTGTGTGTGCACGCGCACATGTGCGTGGGTATGTGCATGCACGTGTGTGTATGTGTGTGTGTGTGTGTGTGTGTGTGTTTGTGTGTGTGTGTGTGTGTGTGTGTGTGTGTGTGGTGTGTGGTGTGTGTGTGTGTGTGTGTGTGTGTGTGTGTGTGTGTGTGTGTGTGTGTGTGTGTGGGTGTGTGTGTGTGTTTGTGCTGGAGGTGAGTGGAAGGAGATTTTTGAGCTCCGGTTTTTTTAGAAGTTTTCTTCCACGGGCTGGTCTCCAGCTCAGCTGTGTGGGTGTGTGTGTTTGTGCTGGAGGTGAGTGGAAGGAGATTTTTGAGCTCCGGTTTTTTTAGAAGTTTTCTTCCACGGGCTGGTCTCCAGCTCCGGCTGGGGCCAGCCCAGGTGAGTTATAGACTCACAGTAAGTAGAGTAGCTGTGCTGAGCGAGGCAGCCGTCATCTTGCTGCCGCGGACGAGGACAATTCAGCGTCGACAACATGGTCACCTCGGATATGACCACTCGCGCTGACCCTCGTCCGCCTGAGCGCGGAGGAGTTGCAAACCCCCGCTCAGAGCTTAGCTTGCAGCATGCACCAGCCGCTCGGAGGTTCGTGCTGTCTCTGGGAACCTGGAATGTGAGGACTCTTGTTGAGTCCGACGGCGACGTGAATACGGCTTCAAAATTTCAAAAAAAATCAAAACATTTGTTGCGGGAGGAGAAGAAAATTGACCTGGTTTGTCGGCAGCTTGGACGTTTCGGAGTGGACATCGCAGGTCTGCAGGAGACCCTTTGGTTCGGCACGGCTCAGTACAGCGTTGGCGACTCTCTCGTGTTGGCGAGTGGACGCCCTACTCCAACGGCGGATGACTCTGGACGTCGTGGTGAAGGTGTGGCGATAGTGCTGCGCGGAAAGTGCAAAGACGCCTTTGTCAGCGGCGGTTCGGAATGGAAAGGACACAGCTCGCGACTTGTCTCCGCGAAGGTAAAGTTCGAATGTGGTCGTAATCGTTCAGTATCTTGCATTCATATCGCTGTTGCGTATGCACCAACATTCAGTAGATCACGTGAGGAGAAAGCTGCGTTCTATGAAAGTTTGCAGTCCTTCCTTGATAGTGTACCCAGGAGTGACCAGTATGTCATACTCGGCGATTTCAATGCTCGTGTTGGTGTTGGTACTGCTGGAGACGAGTGGAGCCGCGTAAGGGGTACACATGGACATGGCGTCATGAATTCTGCTGGAGAGGATTTACTAAACTTCCTGGCCAGAAACAGTGCGCTCATCTGCAACACCTGGTTCAAGAAGAAGGACATCCACAAGCACACGTGGCACCATCCCAGGTATGGGCAGCCTCATTGTATCGACTACTGCATTATTCCAGAGTCATGTCAGCGTCAATGTCTGGATTGTCAAGTTCTCCGCTCTGCGGAGTGTGACACCGACCATAAGTTCCTTGCCATGAGATACCGCTTGGCGGCGGTGCCCAGTTTCCGCAGGCAAAGTAAACCAGCCAACAAACCCATCGCTTCCGCAGTCCTAACGGCTCCCTCCAATGATGAAGTGCGAGCAAAATATTCCACTAGTCTTGATGCTGCCTTGGTTCAGAACTGGCCAGATGAGCTATCTGTGGACGGATGCTGGGCTGCGTTGAAAACTACGGTGGCAGACGTCGCTCAGAAATGCCTTGGCAGAGAGCGGCGCAAACAACCAGACTGGTTCCTGGACAATCGACCGAAGATTGAGGCTGCCCTCCGTGAGCGAGACGATTGCTACCGAGCCTGGATGTCGACCAACAGGGCAAGTGATCAGAAGCTGTATAAGAAGGCCCGAAGTTCAGCTCGCCGTATCGTTCGTCAAGCAAAGCAGGACTGGCTGAGAAAGCAGGCTCGGGACTGCGAACGCTTTAGTTTAACATCTAAGGGAGGCTGGGAGTGCATCAAGAGCATCCAGACTGCACTTGATGGATTGCAGCCCCGCAAGACAGCTGCTATGAAGAATGCGCAGGGTGTTGTGTGCGAGACACCAGAGGCAACAGGTACGCGATGGCGGGAGCATTTTGACGGTGTCCTAAACGTGATCAGTGATTTTGTCCCAGATGCCATTGATTCCATTGGGCAGCTACCGATTCGGCTTGACCTTGAGAACGCCCCAGCCTGCAGCGAGATACACCGTGCTATGCGAGCTCTTCAAAATGGCAAAGCATGTGGCCGATCAGAGATAACAGCGGAGATGCTCAAGTGCGGCTCTGAACTGGTGCCTAGGTTGGAGATGTTGTTGGCTGAAGTTTGGCGGACGGAAAGGGTTCCTCAGGATTGGGCAGACGCCATCTTAATCCCAATTCCCAAGAAAGGTGATCTTAGTGACTGTGGTAACTGGCGAGGCATCGCGCTTCTAGACGTGGTCGGCAAGCTGGTGGCAAGAATAATAGCGGATCGCCTGCAGCTGGTTGGAGAGGAATACCTGCCTGACTCCCAGTGTGGTTTTCGCCGTGGTAGGGGATGCTCAGACATGGTGTTCTCAGTACGCCAGGTTGCCGAGAAATTGCATGAGCATTCATCAAAGGGCTTTGCGGTGTTCATTGACTTGCGCAAAGCATACGATTCAGTACCTAGAGCAGCCATGTGGAGGGTTCTCTCCAGGCTCGGCGTGCCGGATAAGCTGATCTCCATCATTCGGTCGTTCCATGAAGGCATGTCTGCATCCATTCGTCTCGGCGCAGATCTGCTCGACCCTTTCCCGGTGGGAAATGGCCTACGTCAGGGATGCACTATGGCCCCGATCCTGTTCAACTTATTCATGGGTGCGGTTGTGGAAAAGTGGCATGCTACCATCGCCAATGACGAGGATATCGGTATCCAGGTGTCGCAGTTTCGCAGAGACTGCTTGTTCAATACGCGTCTCAGAGAGTGTCGCAGGGTGACTATCACGGAGTGTCAGTTTGCGGACGATTCGTCACTGTTCGCCAAAACCTACGGCGGTGCTGAAAGGGCCTTGGCCACGTTTCGACAGGTTGCAGCATCTTTTGGCCTGTCAGTCAATCTGGGCAAAACTAAGTTCATGCCTATGGGCGTTGGTGTGGTGGCGTCGGATATGTTGCCTTTGGGTGGAACCGTCGAATGCGTGGACAGCTTTCGCTATCTTGGCTGCCAGATCACTCCTGATGCTAGGAGTAGCTTTGATGTCTCTCGCAGGATCGCCGCAGCTTCGGGTGCATTTGGCGCATTGAAGAAAGCTGTGTTTGCGAACTCGGAGTTTCCTATCGGTCTCAAGCGTGTTGTGTACGGAGTCACTGTGTTGGCAGTACTTCTCTATGGTGCTGAGAACTGGACACCGAGGCAACGGGATCTCCAGCGTCTGGAGTCGTTTCACCTGCGATCTATACGCATGGTCCTGGGCATCAGTCGGGCGCGCCAGATGGACGAGCACGTGACTACCCTTCAGGTACGGCAGTGGTGGGGTGACATGGAGCAGGTCTCTGACAAGGTCCGGCGCCGTCGTCTCCAATGGCTGGGCCACCTGGCTCGCATGGATGACCGTATTCCCCGCCAATTGCTCTTTGGTGCCTTGCCGTCTAAACGACCTCCACATGGCCCCCGGAAGAGGTGGAAAGACCCAATCAAACATGACCTGACGGCGGTGTCCATTGGCATGAATGAGTGGCTTGAAACAGCAGATGATAGGTCTGAGTGGAGAACCAGGTGTCAGGATGGAGTCTACAGTGTGGTGTGCTCTCGTGTACAACCTGCCGTGAAACCACTCCTGTGTATGGTCTGCACACGCCGTTTCAGCCGTCCTCAAGACATCGCTAGACATAGTTGCACCTCCCGTCGCTCCGCAAAGGCAAAAAACAAACAGTGAAACAGCCGTTCACGTCCCGCCGGACTCGCAGGGCCTCATGCCGCGTCCCGGAGACAGCACTCCTCCAAGTCGCCCCGTTTGGGGACACGTAGCCAATCGTGGCAGTGGGCGAAGGAAGGAAGGAAGGAGTGTGTGTGTGTGTGTGTGTGGTGTGTGTGTGTGTGTGTGTGGTGTGTGTGTGTGTGTGTGTGTGTGTGTGTGTGTGTGTGTGTGTGTGTGTGTGTGTGTGTGTGTGTGTGTGTGTGTGTGTGTGTGTGTGTGTGTGTAGAGTTCTTCTTTCAGTGTCGATTGAATTGGGCTTTAGACCACAGTAAACCTACATGTATAGTGTCACGGTAGAACTGTAGTGTGACTGTCATAGTGTGTTCCTGTCCGATTGGAAAACTTCAGACATGCTTGAATTTTTTCTTGCTTGAATTTTCTAAATTTCCTCGCACGCATAGACTCACTCGCACATGCGTGCCCAAAAACATGCGCACACATTCACATACGCACGCGTGCGCTCACACACTCTCACACACACACACACACACACACACACACACACACACACACACACTCGCGCGCGCACACACGCACGGGGGTCCACACCTCTTGCTGTTACTCAAATCCCTGCTGTTGCTATTGTGTCTGATAATTTTGTTGACAGGTGGTCATGATGATTCTGGACATTACTGTTGCGCTGAGTAAGTGTCTATATATCCGGACATGATGAACAGTTTCCTTGGAGATAAGAATGCGATAATACTCAGAAAAAGGACACACTTGAGGCTCTTTTAAGAGACCATCTTGAATACTGTAAACCGGGAAACTTTCGCGAGCGGATAATTTTCGCGAGTTTCGCGATCACCGCCAAAACGCGAATTAGAATCGCGGCAAACTGAAGAATTTGAACGGAAGTACATGTACTTGTACCACCTGAAAAGACCAAATCGCTAAAATTTCCCCTCGTTAACAGGGGCGTTTTTTAAAACGCTTAAGTTTCCCGGTTTACAGTAGTCCTGTTGTGTAATGATTGGTTCAATTGTTCAATTGCCATGAGACTCAGAGTTACATGCTACAACCCAATGTGTCCTGCCATTGTGAACTCGTATTCCAAGCTCCTCACTTCTCGAGTTGAGCACTCTCACAAGCCAACAGCATCTCTCTCCCCTTATACTATACTTGGTCCGACTTATTAAAAATGTGCGCTTCGTTTCCGAAGCCTACCGAACAAATTTAAAGAATCTCAGGACGGAATAAACTTCCCAGCTACCTAGCAGTGGCCTTCAGTTGTCGATTTGTGATATTGAAGAAGGACTGGCTCGAATTCGAAAGGAGGCAGCACCTCAAACTCCTAGGCGACTCGAGCATTTCGCGTTCAATTCTTGTCGTCAGAGGACTTCATGCGCAACGCTGAGAAGGCCTGGTGCTAATATCAAGACCCCAATGCGATGGGGATATGTCACGGAGTACCAGAAACTCCTGGGCGATCGTTCTCGACTCCCTCCTGGCATATTGGAATCGCTGCAGTCGCGGTTTCCTCGGCAGAATTTTTGCAAACGCATCATCCAGAAACTCGTTCAGCAGCATAGGCATCGCGTCATCCAGTTTACTGATGTTTCTCGCAGTCGTATGTGATGTGCCGGCGGACTAATCAAGATCACGAAAGAGATCGCCGAGAAGCTGATCAAAATAAACAACCACTCACGCGAGAAACTGGCTGGAAAACGGAAACGAACGAGTGAATTATTCTGAAGATAGTGTGTGGATGGTGCGGAGTTCTCGAAGCTGCGAGGCATCATCGTTACATCAAGCCTATGCGAAAGCTCCGTCTCGTCTCCATTGACAGTGCACTTGTGGCCCATCGATTCGTGCAACAGGGATGAGCGCGCATGATCTGACTGTATGACACAGACTGCCATCAGTGCAAGTACGCGGAACACGGCGATGATAAGTAATTTGTTTAGGTACGTGGTGGTCTACCTGTTCGCCTCATTTGAGGCTATCGTGGGAACGTCGAGTGAAAACCCCTACAGCTACCATTCTGGCAGTTGCACTGCACGAGGAAGTGGCGAAGGTCAAAGTCAAACAAATCTAGTGCGCGGATATAAATAGCAAAAGGCTGTTTCGATGATGATGATGATGATTTTTTTTTTGAAAAAGTGTGGAAGGCCTCTTTTACGGGCAAAGCAAAGCACAATCATCACCATGTATCAGTACAGTGAATAGTTAAACCCAACACGAATGAAAAAGGAGAAATGGAATAAAAACAATATTGTAAAAAATAAAAAATAAAAATTCAATATCGAACACGAATAAAATAAAATTAACAACCACACAACAAGCCGACCTGTTTGGGAGCTATTACGCGTTGTATTATCAGGGCATAGGCAACAATTGCCGCATACAGTATGCAATACTATGGTCCAATGCCGTAGTATCGCAAGCACCAATGTGCGTTAGACTGGCCAATGCCAGGGCTAATGGGGGCAACAATTGCCCGGCGTGTCAATACACGAGCGTACGGTAGGGATGCACTTGTGAGCACATGTAGGCGCACTTGGCTCAATGCCGGCCTGACCCACGATCCCTACCGTTCTTAGGCGTGTCAATACGTGAGCATACGGTAGGGATGCACTTGTGAGCACATGTAGGCGCACTTGGCTCAATGCCGGCCTGACCCACGATCCCTACCGTTCTCCCAAAAATACAACATGACCCAAACAGGAATTATCGGCATTACTATAGTTATAGTAGCATTACCATAGTTATAGTATAATATGTATATCATATGTACACTACAGCTGTCGCTAGGGCCGTCCAATGCGGCTACCCATTAGCATAACGGGCAGAGACTAGAACAACGCCGCTGGCAATGCTCTGTCTGCGACAGGGGTGCGGACATAGCGGAGGTAGGCAGAGCTTTGCCACCTGCCGGCGGTCTTCAGCACATACTCGGGCACGCCAGCTTTGCCTGCCAGCGTTGCAGCGCCTCGTCTGAGGCTGTGGCTGCGCACGTCTTTGTTAGGCAAGGCTGTTTGTAGTAGCCTGTTGATGTTATGCGGCTTCAGGGGCGTGCCGTCATCATAGCGATAGAGCGGGCCAGGTGCCGAGCCACGGACTGCTAGGTAGCTGGTGGCTGCCGTGTGCGGGCATGTCGGCGAGCCTGTCCTCCTGACGCTGATGTCCTGGCCGCTGCCGTATTGGCTCGTCTTTGTCACGCGCAGGCGCAGCTCCACGCGGTCTGGGTACATGGTCGCATCGCTGTACTCAAGGCCGGCGCCCCGTGCCGTGAAGGTGTACTCGCTGACTCTGAGCAGCCCGTGGAAGGCCAGAGTCACGGCGCTCCAGAGCATGGCGCGGTTGTGCGGGCTAGGCACAGTGGACTGCAGGTAGTGCTGTACGCCAGCCAGATCGTCCAAAGTTGCGGCCGTTAGCACTTTCCGGACTGCCGTCTGGGATCTGAGCGCCCCCTGCTGGAGCAGCCGGACACGCGGTGAGGCGAAAACATCCAGGCAGAGGCCCTGCAGGACGTGCTGATGTCTCAGCGCCTGGGTGTAGAGTTTCAGAGACGAGCCAGACGAGCCGGACGAGAATTTCCAATTCAGAAAGTTAATCAGGCTGGGCTCCGTCACCGGGTACGGCGCGACCTGCCGTAGGGCAGCAAAGCGTTCGTAGGAACGCTGCGCTGAAGCGTACGTCGCGCTGGAGCTGTCTGCCAGGCCGTGACGGATGAGCTCCATGGCTGCGTCATCAACTGATGGAGGGTGGACTGCGCTGGTGGTGTAGGCGCTGCGTCGGCAGTTGGGTTGAGGGTCCGGAAGCGCCGTACCTGCAGACGGGAGAGAGAATCAGCAAGATCATTGCAGTGTCCGGCGATGTGGCGAAGCAGGAGGACAATGTTATGCTGGGCGGCTTTCAATATGCCGGCCCTGACCAAGTTCATGACCGCTCTATTTGGGGACGTGCCAGAGCGCCAGATGTAGCAGATTGCTTCGTTGTCAGTGTAGAGTAGCACTCGTCTGTCCTCCAACGTGTGTGCCCAGGTACAGAGGGCCAACATCACGGCGTACAATTCTTTCCATTCAATAGTGTGCTCAGCTTGGTCAGGAGACCATGCGCCATAGGACCACTTGCTGCCGAAAACCAGACCGAAACCGTGTCGACCTGAAGCGTCGGTGTACAGCCCGATGTCTTCGGCTGTGCTCCAGGACGGCTCGATGAGGGGCTTCCGACCATTCCATTGGCTGATGCAGGCATCCCACCACAGGATGTCAAGCTTCGCCTCCGAGGGTACGGCTACCGGTGCATCTAGGCTAGGGAGCGTTGCTGCGCTGTCGAACAGGCGTCTGCAGAACGTGCGACCCGCTGGAATGACTTTGGCTGCGAAAGACAGGCTACCGGCCAGGGACAGCAGTTCCCTCTTGGTGCACATCTGCTTCGACAGCCACGCGGCAAGTGCTAGCCGTAGTTCCGCGAGTTTCGCAGCCGGGAGGCGCAGCTCCCAGGCGGCTGTGTCGAGCTCGATACCCAGGAACGTTATTGAAGTTGACGGCGGGCACACTTTGTCCTCTCCGTCGGCCAATGGGATGTTCAGCATGTCAAATACAGCCAGCAGTGTCTTGAATTTGAGCATAGCTGCGGAGTTGGGCGGCTGGACGTGAAAGAAATCATCTAGGTAATGCAGCAAATCAACAATATCGTAATTATTAACTGCAATCCAAGCCACAGCGTCGGCAAGTCTGTTGAACAGAAACGGGGAGGATCTGAGGCCAAATGGTAGTACCTTATCGACATAGTACGAACCTTCCCAAAAAATGCCAAGTAGGGGCCAGTCGTCAGGGGAAACAGGGCAGAGCCGGAAGGCGTGCTTCATGTCAACCTTAGAGAGGAGAGCTCCGGGGCCGTGCTGGAAGATGCAGCGTATTGCGTCATCTACCGTAACGTAATGCAGGTTCAAAAACTGGCCAAGGTTGTCAAGCGATCTGACTGTTGGCGCAGCAAGGATGAAGAAACAGCATCGAGAGCCGGAGTAATGCGCATGCTCCGCGTGGTCCCGTGCCGGAGCGCGGGAGTTCGGAGTGCGTGTTCTGCACGGGCACGTGATGCGCTATGGCAAGTACGTGCAAATTATGTTAGGAATGTAATTGTTGGTGGGTTGCTAACTTCACTTACCGTGCCATGCACGGAAACTTATATTAAAAATATGTAAAAAATAAAAAATAAACAATATCGAACACGGAATTAATTCCGAAACTATCTACTCAACCAATTCATAATGCAATACCCGCACACTGTGTCAGTGATGGAACTCCGCTACCCGATCAACATGCAGAGACCACTCAATCACATGCTTAAAAGCCGCTCTCCACAATGGCCAACTCCCTCATCGCATTAGCTGGACGATGGTAGGCCGAACGTGCACCGTGAATGCACATTATGGCTGCCCTGAACAAAGCGAAGGACAAGCGACACCGCACATAGGCCATTAGCTGGGCATACGGTCGATCGGCAGTTGCCAGCAATGCACACAACCGCTTAATGAATGCAGTACACTCCGGAGCACAACAACCCGCCGTGGTAAAGACTAGAGGGGTAAATGAACCACGGTCGACATTGTTGATACGCTCGGCATACTCACTCTTCTTGCGGCGCTCATATTGCTTCAGAAGATCACTGACGGGCTTGCTCTTGTATGATGCTG